CCTACAGTAGCCCTCAATTTCGTGCCCCTCTCCACCTGCTCGACGCCGCTTTCTGCCCTCTTGATCATCACTACCAACAGTGTTCGGAGATCCTGGGCGTGTTCGTGAAGGCCCTCCTCGGCATGACGCCCGACCTCGTGCCCCTCGAGCTTCTCGACGCCCTCCGCGGCACTCTGCAGGACCACACCGAGTCGCTGGTGACCAGCTTACTGCTCAACGTCAGGCTGCCCTCAGACGCCCGCCAGGCGGCCGCCCTCTGCCTCCTCCTGGAGGTCCCGCGGGTGTGGGCCCTCAACGGGTCCCCGACTCCGACAGGAATTCCCTACCGCCGGCCCCCCGCCGCCGCGGAGAACGGCACCGGCGGCAACAGCAACGCCTCCTTCATATCTACTGCCACTGCCGCTTCGACAGCCGCCACCACCGCCGCCGCTGGGTCGGGGGGAACCGGGGCAGAGGGTTGGGCGGGGGTTACGCAACAGCAGCAGCAGCAGCAGCAGCAGCAGGGGGCGGCGGTGGCGACGACGGGCTCGCGGTGGGGCCGCGGGGGAGGGGACCCCGGGGCGCGAGAGAGGGAGGACCTGCTCCGGAAACAGGCAGAGGTGATGGAAAAGCCGTACCGTGTAGGCGGTTGTTGCATGTATACGGAATGACGACGGCAATAGAACTATCTCTTACCAGAAAAATGTTTTTTGGGGGGCGGACGTTGGCAATCGGTCTGAGTCGGGTTTCAGGCCTTCTTCTGGCCTCTAATCTTGAAAGGCAAAAGGTGGGTTCATTCCCTTGTTACAAAGGCGTAGTCACCGCAAAAGGCACTCAAACAAAGCTGCTACGATAAGAAACGGGAAAGCATCAAAATAAGGTGCCATGTACGGTAAGTAGCTCGTTGTCTCGCTGTGGGGTGATGTATTGCGGAGGGCATTGTACATAGTTCAGGGTGACGTGCAGCATGGAAGGCGACAAGGACTGAAGAAGGAAACGGTACAACAGCCTGAGTGAACAGGGCTATGACAACAACAACAACAACAACAACAACAACAACAACCTGAATGAACAACGGCTTAACAACAATGACGACGACATCTCAGGATGCTGCGGAGACCCAAGCAGTGGCTGCAGCTTTCGCCGACACGGACTACGCGATGCGACCTGATGAGGGCAACATGAGTACGGGCAGCAGTGACGAGGTCAGGCAGTGTAGATGGCAAGCCTACGGTCGCAACGCACTTCTCCTGAGGCAACGATCAAACCTGCCGTTGTCGTGGCCGCCGTCGTTTGTGTGTGCTGTTGCGTGAGCAGATTGGCTCACTGTTCTTTTCCTCGACAACCGAAGCTTCCGCCGCCGCGTCCGTCGTCGTCGTCGCTGTTGTTGGGGCTGTTTTTTGTTGTGGTTGTTTGCACAAAGCTGCTTCGTTCATTTTTGTCGTGTCCTTGGTGTCTCTCTGCCGCAGGTCCAGATTGTTGGTGTTGTTCCCGGTAAAACGGGTTCCGTAGGGAGCACCGTGAATGGCGGTGACCATGGTGGGTCCCTCGATTCTGGGTCCCCTCGCCCTTACGGCCCTCAGCGGCAGCAGCAGCAGCAGCAGCAGCAGCAGCAGCAGCAGCAGGAGCAGGAGGGAGGCGTTGGTGGCGAAGCCAACGGGGGTGGGGGATGTTTTTTTGCCTTGTTTTTGGCTTCTTTTTTTTTTTGTTTGGTCCTTTTGTTTTGATGTGAACTCTACTTTTGGCGTTGTTAGAGTGTGTCGTGTGCCGTAGACAAAGAAGCTCAACAGAAGCCTACGTGTGGTAGAGGTTCATGTTGCTGTTCGTTGCCTCTGTTGTGTTGCTAGCTGTCACGTGGTACCAAATGCCGCACCGTCCCACGGGCATAATTTCCGACGGACTGCCAAAAGTTCTTGAAAGGCCTGGAAAATGCATGTGGCCAACGGCTGCACTGCTGCGCGGGGCCAGAATTTCGCCCCCAAACCCCTCGCAATAGCCTTGAACGACACTTTCAGAACGTCCGATAGTCGAGACGTGATAAAACGAATCGTTGGAATTTTGGAAGTGACAACATGTCATAACCATTATCTGTGTCTGTGCGTGTTTATTTTTCTTTGTATGTGAAGTACTCAAGTATTTTTTTGTTGTTTGGGTGAGAGGTAAAGGCTCAAAACCCTACAGTTCCGAATATCGGATTTCAAAAGTAGATCGAAATGGAGCAATCACTTCCCACCCACCACCTGTGTTTCTGTCGAATTGCTGTCGCCGGTATGAACGTGACCATGCTGCTGTATCCGGTGATGGTTGGTCGTGAAGGTCGGGCCGCCGAAGCGCAGCAGCAGCCGCAGCAGGCAGGGCAGCAGCAAGAGGAAGGGGAGGAGGGGGAGGACCTCTCCGAGACGTGTATTCGCGATGCCCTTTGGCTGCAGAGCCGGCTCATGAAGGAGTTACCGGAGATGGTGAACATCATAGAGGTGAGACACACGGACACAAGGTAGGGTGTTGATACATGTGACCGAAACACCAGCACCAACACCAACATCGACAACAAGCACGGCAATGGCAATGCCTCGATCAAGACGCACGGGAACATGGCAACAAAACAACGCTACCAAGAACAACAAAATTGCGCACCAGTAGCACATCAATAACAATCGCGACAATGACAATAACTGACCAACAGGCTCACGGGAAGACCCACCAGCCAATGCAATTCGTGGAGATGATCCAGGCGATGATCAACCTCTTGACCGGTAGCCAACTCGAGAAGGCACATCTGGCGGAGCACCTCCCCGCCATTTTCAAGCTCCTCTTCAAGCTTGACAGGTGAGTCTTACCCTCGTTGTGGTTATGTTAAGGTCCTCTGTTTTGCCTACATGGTGCAGCAGGTTTTCTTGGTACAAGGCCCCCCTTTTCTTGCATCAAATCCGGGGTTTCACATAGAAGATGC